ATTCATTACCTGAAGATGATGGGGCAATGACTGAATACTTGGATGGGTTTTAAAAGGAATTAGACAAGGCTAGGTGTGGCTATTAGTCATGATGGCGACACGTTCCTCTGCATACCAGTTGCTGGGAAGATGAGTGGGAAAATGCTTTGTACTCTTGCTCCACTTGAGGGCTTCGTAGGACCACCTGGTTGTCCACTATGGGAACAGAACTCTGGGCAAGGTAGGCCTTTGATCCAATCCAGCAGGGATTTCCTTACATTTTAATGATATATGGCAAAGTCCCCGTGAAAGATTTACACTTAAGCTTATTTCTTTCAAATAAAATAAAAATAGACAGGATGACTGAAAGCAAGCATGAAAAATTGCCATGAAAGAAAGCCAAATAAATGAGTTACTCAAATATCTATCCACTGAGAGGCCACAAAGAGAAACTTCATTAAAGGGTTATTTGGGGGGGGGGGGCTTCATGAGAGAGGGGCATGATGAATTCCATTTCCTGGGATCTGGGAATTGATCGTGCTATCAATTCTACCCACTCTTCAAGCAAGAATGCTATGCTGAGCACCTAGCAGAAGCTTGGAGCATGCTACCCATCTCAGTTTGGAAACTTGATTCCAGAAATAGATGAGGAAAGAGGAACACATAATCCAAAAAGGAACTATGGAGGGGGGTTGATCGGTGGTCTAGCTTGTTAATCAGACTGTTCTTCTCCAGAATTGGAAGACCTGGGCTGGTGCTGGAGTATTCCATGATTTGGGGCAAGAAGAACGTAACAGCCCAGTGGGACTTCAGGATTCAGAATGTCAGAAATCTTGTCTTTACTTCTTAACCCTTAGGGTCATGAACATGTGGGTCAATAAGCCTTTGAAATCGTATAAGCTAGAGACAGAGATTGTGAGGCTGATTAATACTTCCAGTGGCCAGTGAGGAGAGATCCTATGGTGTCTTGCACAAGTCTTTGGTCTTGTCGATGTTTTGCAGAATACACCTGTAGGGCTTGACAGAACCTTTCCTCGGTTGGGCATATTGCAGGTTAATAGGCGGGGATGGTTGAAAAGTTAGAAGTTTAATTTGTTGATGCTAATGAAAAGGGGAGGGGCTTCCATGTTTGCTCTACATTTTTCTGAATGAGATAGTCATCTGAGCATGGAAATAGAATAACCTGAGTAGAGGGGGCAAAAGCTTGTGTGTGGGAGGCAGCAGTTTGACATTTGGCAGTTTGGAAGAGACAGGTAGGCACAAAAGTGGAGCTGGCTGAAAATTCAATTCCAGGAATAGTCTCCTCTCTCTCATCTCCAAGATGTATGACCAGCCAGAGCAAAAACATTAGCAAAGCTTCTGTCATTCCATGACCTGACATTTCAGGTGCTTGTTTCTTTGGCTCAATACTGAACCAATTTGTTTGGCTCTCTTTCCAGTTACCATGTGTGCTGCTCGAGACCATGAATATCTCTTGAGTGTGATGGAGAGAATAGTCAGGGATGGCTGCTTCAGAAAGCACAGAGGGACTGATGTCTCAGTACACAGAATAGCTCTATTGAATGCCCATTTAGCAATCAAAGAAAATTGCCCCGAGTAGGCAGTGAGTTTGTGAATGATGTCACTGGATCGCTGCAGAAAAAGCACAGCTATTGCTTTTTCACAGCACAGGCCACTGTGCGGCTATCCCGATTGCATGCGCTCTGGCAGGGCCAAGATATGTTCATGCAGCCACTCTCTGCAATTTGGGCTTGGAACTTTCCCTGTGCAATTGCACATGTGCTGTGGAACCACCATTCAGATCTGAAGTGCTGTGGGAAACGGGATGCAAGACACGACGCACTGCTGCTGGGTATGGAAGTGCATGGCCTCACTTCAGGCTTCCTTTGCAAAACAAAACAAGACGAAGGCAATCGACATCTACTCTTTCCTAAGTGCAGGATCACCGCACTGAATCTTTTCAATGTATCTGAATGCAATGGTCGTATCGTGGGGCACCCATCCCAAAAACGGTTCAGAAAGAGTGTGCAGAAATGGCAGGGCAAGCATGTGCTTGCTTCATTTTGACTGTGAGGTTTTGCTCAAGGCTACATCAGTCTTAGCGCTGCACAGAACTCACAACGTACCGTCTGCGAGCTTCTGGAATTGAGCTGCAAGGAAGGGCTGAACTCAGCTTTGGAGAAGCTCTTCAGGTGCAGGGCAACTTTTCAGTTGTGGGTGAAGCTGAAGGCAAGAGAGGACAGGACAGGGCAGGAAGGAAGTGGGGTGGGGTCAAAAAACCACTAAAACACCATCCTATTTCAGCTTAGAGCTCTTACTGCCAGAAACTAAAACTGAGCAGAGGTATGTCAAAGAATCATAGAATAGTAGAGTTGGAAGGGGCCAAGAAGACCATGAGGTCCATCCCCCTGTTCAAGGTCTAGAAAGGGGAAAATGTGCTAAAGTCAGAAAACCATGATGTGGTCAACATTCATGGGCAATGCAATGGGGCCTTCTAGGGAAACAGAGGTTGACTTGGAACCTCAGATGGGCTGGATTTGATCCACCTGCCTGAGGTTCAATGCCATGCTGGAGAGTGGGAGACTCTCTTGCAGAGGGACCATAGCTTAGTGGTAAAGAACATTCTTGTGCACCGAGGGTCCCTCACACCTCCAGGAGATGAAGATCAGATCACAGGTGGTGGTGGAGAGCTCTGCCTCAGACCCTGGAAGGCCCCTGCCAGCCAGAGTTTCAGTACTGGCCTAGATGGTCAAAGAGATGATAAGGCAGCTTTCTGCATTCCCAGCTCAAGGGCCCCTGTGCTGCAGCATTGCTTTCCCTTGCTCTCAAGAGCTTTTGAATGTTCAAAGGAAACAAGACCCTCATTCACTTGGCTGGGCTGGCAACCCCAGTGCCCTTCCCAGGAGTTGAAACAATTAGAGAGATGCAGGTAACAAAAGCAATTGCATGGTTGAAATCCAGAGAGAAAGCATACTATAACTGCTGGTGGAAGAGCTTGTTGGCAATCAGAAAAAAAGCACAACAGCTTTAGTAAACCCAAGAAAAATGAGCGCATCGCTAGTCCAGCCGAGCGCTCGCCCAGTCACTGATGTAATCATACGAAGCGTTCCGAGGTGCTCTCCTGGGCCCTGTGGTTGGCTTGGAGTCACTCAGAGCACAGCTTGGAGTGCCTTGGCTCCTCTGCGGAACTCCCTGCAGGCACCCACTTCATTTTCCTCCTGGCACCTGCCAAAGTGCATTTTTATTTAAAGAAAACTTCCCTGACGGACCAGTCACAGTTTCATTATTGCTATACTACATTTATACCCTGCCTTTCTTCCACTTGCAAGAAACCCAAGGCAGATTCACTTCTCTCCGCTTTATCCTCACAACCACAACCCTGTGGGGTAGGCTAGGCTGAAGGTCCATGACTGGTCCAAAGTCATCCAGTGAACTTCATGGCTGAAAGGGGATTTGGAACTGGCTCTTCCTAGCCAGGCATTAGGCTACACTGGCTTGGGCTAAGCCACACTGATTTTCTCTGGTTTTAGTAGCAATATGTATACGTATTCTGTATTTTCAGCTATAAATTCCTTAACTGCTCAGGATTTTTACATAGGGTGTTATACACATTTTGTAAATACTGAAAAGAGGATTTTTGTCATCCCGTGCTGTTCATAAGAGCAGACCAGCACACTTGCTTTTATGTCCAAATTCCAACAGTTTTCCTTTTTGCTGTTTGCCATTTGCTTTTTGCAAGTGTGCTTCAGGAACTTGGAGGATATAGGTAATCAGGTAAATGTTCAAGAATACATGGAGGGACAGCAATGAAGGAGAAGCTCATCCAGCATAAGAACGTTTCACTGAGGCTGAGGCCAATATCATCCTCAGTGTTGCATTCCCAATTGCTTTGTACAGATGCACACCCTGATCAATGAAGAACGCGGACACAAAGAAAACAGATGTGTTGGAAACATGGTGCTGGAGGAGAGCTTTGTGAATACCCTGGACCAACAGAAAGAGGATCAAGTCAGCAAAGATCAGATCAGGCTAGAACTCTCCCCAGAAGCAAACGTGATGGAACAAACTGTTGTACTTTGGGCACATCACGCAAAGGCAAGGCTCACTAGAGAAGCCATCCCAAGGTCGAATATTACATGGTAACTGCAGGAGAATGGGATTGTAAAAACCAATCATTTGACACAATGCAAACTGTAGAGGCAAAGGACATTCATTTCCTACCAACTAGTCTAGCTATGAGGCATTTGGGTATATCAGCAACAATGGAAAATCCATTCCGGTATGCCTGTTGACTCATTGCCCAAAAGCGGGAAATGCATCTCTAAGAAAGAGGACAAAACAGATACCAGCTTGCATAACATTTGCATATGCTGACTTGTATGTACAGAGGGAAGTTAAGAATCAATAACTATAAAATGAAAGGGAGCAAACATTTGCTTATAAAAATCAAAAGATAATGTCATATAGTAAAAAGGATGAGAATAATTAATAGCACAAGCTTAAACGGTACAATGTCTAGTGATGTACATGCATCTCATTCCTTTTCTCAGGACATGCAAACATGTTCCATTCACAACCCTGCATGCAAACAAGTGTGCATTTGTGCAGGCATGTACATCTGGGCATGTGCATTTGCATCATATTTTCACACTTTAACCTATGGGAAAGAATGCACGTTTTTGCTTTTACATGTGCATCCAGATTAAAAACAAGAATAGATAATGGCATTTGGGAACACAAAGAGAAGCAAAGGACTTAGAAAACCTTTAAAAGCTTGAGAATTGCATGTTCACCCAGTCCTAGCAATTTCTCTCATAGGCTGGCAAAATTTGTGACCTCCACAAGCCAAATCAATACTGCTTTTGTCTACCAGAGATCCACAAGATCAGAGATGTGGTCAGGGACATTTTCGGCCCAATTTTTGAGTTGGTGGATTGCATTCAACTTGTGGTCTGCAAGTTGCATAGATGTGATCCAATACAATATTGCTGAAAACCAATACACAACTCGAGTGGACTCACGTGTGCTAAGCGATCAAATCTGGCAAAGAGCTCATTCAGCATCCGGACCAGCTCCTGGGCCGACAGTGTAGTAGAGAGATTTGTGAAGCCTTTCACATCTGCAAAAAGAATGCTGAACACAGAACAGAGAAGAAAATTAGCACTCTTGCAGCTGGTCATCAGTCCAAAAATGGAAACCGCCATCCTGTATATCCAAGTGGGCATCACATGAGTTGACAGCTGGACTTCAAAAGGGTGCCACCCCTTGATGTCTTACAGAAATGCAGTGCCTCTGGTCAACCCTGTTTGGGAAGCCCTGGCCCTGGTGGTCAGTTCCCTGGCCCTGGTGGACAGTTCTTTGGCATGTATTAACTGTTTGAAATTCCTTAAGTCTCCAACCATTCGGTTTTTTCCCCCACCCAGATTATGTGAATCACAGAATCATGCAGTTGGAAGAGGCCTAGGTGGCCATCTGGTTCAACCTCTGTTTGTTGCATGGCTCAAGTCTCCCATCCAGATTCTAACCAGGCCTGACCCTGCTTAGCTTTGAAGATTAGGCAGCATCAGGCAGTTCAGGCTATACAGAAGATTAAATCTCTTGCATTGCATAATCTTTGGTAAGGCTGCAAACTAACACCTTTTCTTTGAATGGAAAAGGTTTGTTTAAGCGTTTTTCTATTTTGCATCTGAAATCAAACACTTTTCCCTGGAATGAAGTTTCCAGTACTGTTTAGGCTTTCGCTAAGGCTCCAAACAAATTTTATCCGATGTGTTGTTTCAGCTGTTTCAATCTTTGCTGAAGTTGCAGTCAAGAGTTATTCCTTTGGACTAGGATCTCCTGCATTATGGGACATGTATACACCAAATTGCTGCACGCCATGGAAACAGAGATCAGTTTCCCACCTCTTGAGAGGTGCAGTCCAAGATGGCTGCTTGGGTAGCTCCTGAGGTACCGCCTGTACTGGAAAGATTACAGTTTAAGTCTAATCATGTTTACATGGAAGCAAGCCCCATTAATCGCAGTGGGACTTACTTCAAAGTGAGTATACTTTGGCTGGAAGCCTCAGTGGATTGCAGCGAGAATTTGAAGCACTGCTTTTCATGAATAAGCCCTTCCATTCGCATGGAAGTTTGCCAAATTGGAATGTCTGTGGTGTGCTAGAAGTCACTGAGACAAACGTGGTGGGGGAGGATGGGGTTGTATGAAATGTTCTGCTGAAGAAAAAAGGAAGAAAAACAGACAGACAACACTCCCAACCTCCCATATCAGTGATTAATGGACTGGTCATTAATGAACACTTGGAGGGCCTCTTCTGACCTCCGACAGAGTAAGGGAAGGTTACAGCAAGAAAAGGCACAGCGATTCCCTCACCTGACATTTTCATAGCGGTGAATATAGATCTTGTGGAACTGATGCTGCAAATGCTCATCCTCCACATTGGTCATGTCATTAATCATCTCGAGCACCACAAATCGAGGTAACACTGACAATACCAGTCGCTCCTGCAATGCAAACAAGAGATTGGGAAGGGGGCCATTCCTGGAGCAAACGACCCCACACATCCTTCTCAGGAAAATAATGGCAGCAAAAGAAGTCACGGCACTCCCGTCCCCTGGATTTTTTAGGGCTGAGAGAAAGCCCTGGCTAAAGTATTGTTTTGCTTACACTGCCATTTTGCAAGGCACTTTTAGCAGCTTTCTTCAACAGCTCCTCAAGTGCTTTCCACAAAAGGCTCAATACGAGCAGGGAAAGAAGTGTTAAGAGGAACTGGATATTTCTAGGTTTCCCCAGTGGACTGAAAGAATAGTGAAGTGTGAAACTTACTGCCATTCCCAATTTACCCAGAAAAATATTTGGGTTGTGGCGGAAGGGGTTTAGCACATCTGGTGAACACGAAAATCAAGCACACTTCCACATCCTTGCAAGTTCCCCTCACCTTTCTTTTGTGGAGAGTTTTTACTAGCATGAGTCCTTGTGTGGGCCTTCCTTAGCTGGAAGTAACACTTAGAAAATGATTTCCAGCCAAGGATCAAGGGACTGGCTATTGGAAAACTACAAGTCCCGTCATTCCCATCAGAAAAAGATGCTATGCATCTTAACTCTCTCTAAGAAGAAGCGCTGCAAGGTACCTTCTGGGTGGTAGTGAGCCAGGGTGGCCAGATGTCCTATTTCACAGAAGACAACCCTCTTTTTGAAGACCTACACAGAGTACAGTCCTCTGTCTGAATGGTGAGAAGCATTGCATTTCTATTCAAATTATACTTATTTCTAAATTTGACTCTATCCGTAGAAATCAGCATATGCAACAATTATGCAAAATTGCTATCTGCTTTTCTCCAGTTTTTGGTGATGCATTTCCTCTTTTGTGATGACGCAAACATGGCCACCCTAGTGAGCCTGCTCCACTGCCTGTTATTCCATGCTTTGCCCTTATCCTAAGTAAGGCATCTTAGAAACATAGAAACAGAACGAGTCAGAAGGGGTCTCCCAGGCCATCTAGTCTGACCTCCGGCACCAGCTGGCTCTGCTCACGACATGCCCACCATGTGGACGTCCAGCCTATCCTTGAACACCTGCACCAATGGGGCCTCAACAACCTCTCGTGGAAGCCCATTCCACACCCTCGGGGTCCTGACTGTCAGGAAGTGCTTCCTGGCATCCAAATGGAACCTTGGCTCCCTGAGCTTTGCTCCGTTGGAGCACGTCCTGCCTTCCTCTGCAGGGGAGAACAGGTCTCTACCCACCTCCGTGTGACACCCCCTCACATCCCTGTATGTCGCCAACAGATCCCCTCTGAGCCTCCTCTTCTCCAGGCTGAAGAGACCCAGTTCCCTCAGTCTCGCCTCATACGGCATCCCCTGCAAACCAGCCACCAACCTTGCGGCCCTACACTGCACTGACTCTAACCTGGCTATATCCTTCCTGTAACGAGGGGCCCAAAACTGAGCACAATACTGCAGTTGCAGGTGCACCAGAGTCATACAGAGTGGTAATAATACCTTTCTCGATCTAGAAGCCACACTTCTGGCTATGCAACCAAGGGTGGCGTTCGCCCTCTTGACCACCACATCACACTGCTGACTCATGTTTAGCCTGCTGGCAACCAGCACCCCGAGGTCCCTTTCACAAGTGCTGCTCTCCAGCCACTTGTCACCTAACCTGTACTTATGACACCTATGCCTATGCCCCAAGTGCAAGACCTTGCACTCATCCACATTGAACGCCATCCTGTTGTCTCCTGCCCACTTCCATAGTCTGTCCAGATCCTTTTGGATCTGGAGTGCCTGCTCCTCAGTTGTGGCCACTGCTCCAGTGTTGGTGTCGTCTGCAAATTTGATCTTCCCCTTTGGTAAGGCAATCACTGAGGAATCTCATTTTGAGTCAGGGTGTCCATGCGTCTATTTGAAGGGCTGCCCAGATGAATTCCAATCTAAAATTGAAGTTGTCTGAGAATGGTTGTCTATCAGCAGTTTGAACCCAAACAATGGGCCCGCAGTCTTCCCCACTATGCTGCACTGCATTTTGAGCAAACTTGCAATAATAATTCCTAAAACCTGCACCAATTCATATCAATCTGCATATGCCCATCTTATGTAAATTACTATCTTCATTGTCTTCTCTTAGGCTAATGCATTTCCTCTTTTTCAGCAATTTGTAACTGTCCACTCTAGACCTACGTCAGCATGCTCTGAGTCACCTTGAAATGGGGGCAGGTTTTTCAAACAGGAGGGCTTTGTATTTTGAGCTCCCACCTGAAGGTTCACAGCGCCTTCCGTTGCAAGCCATGGTTGTGCCCAAGCATTTTGGGAGTGGCATAATAAGTCTAAATCGTCTGATATACTAGAACTTTTGCAATGTGGTCCTGGGCATTCCAAGCAACCCAATCCCATGGAACGGCGGCCTCCATTGCAAGCAGACAAGTCTTCATTCTCAAATAAGCAAAACTCCACTGCCCAGTAAGCAAGTCCAAACAAATTTACTGGGACATTTGATTACACAGAGAAGAATAATACCAACATTTTGAAATTAAAAATAGGATGCTGCTTTTTAAATTTTCAATTACTTGCTAATTTATTTTTATTCAACAAAATAAATTAAATGTGCTTTAAAGTAATCAGGCCTAAAATGATACCTGGGTGCAATATAAATAAACCTACATATATGCACAATCTATTAAAGCTGGATGAGTGACCCTTTATGTGACATCTCAGATTAAAGTTGACTTTACTATGTCAAAGAGGAGAAAGGGGCAAAAACATGTGACTCCTGAGGTCAAGTATTATGAATGTCATGTTAGGTCATGTGTTAATATCATTTTTTTCCAGACTGAGAATAGTTCCACTGTCAGCCAAAGAGCAAGAACATTTTCTTTCCATATCATCAGAAAAAAGTATTTTGCCCAGAAGCCATCACTTCTGGCGCTTGAGTCTTTTTTGCGGGGGAGGTGGGTATGGGTGCTCTCTAAATACGATATTATTGATACATTTACATATACTTTGCACGCACACACACACACACACAAATGAGTAACAGCCAGTTGTGTCTGTATGCTTCACAAATCTGTCAGATAATGTTCTTTATTATGCAACTTTTTTACTTGATAATTGTATCCAAAATCTGGTCCATTACTTCAAAATTAAAAGCAAAAAGAATAATGTATGACATATGTGTGAGGAGATTTAGGACAACCCTTTACTGATATGGGAAAAGAATGGAAACTATGTCTCAAGAAAGCATCCCAGTTTAATGAGACTTCCCACCCACCTGTCCCTTGGAAGTCAACTTTGGTATGTTGTCTTTTCAGCCAGCATTATTCAGGTCCTTATATACACATAGTGAAGTCAGAAATGCTGAATTTTACAAAAATACCAAAGAGAAATACTGAATTTTATGATCGCTCTCTAAGCAAATATATCTTTTGTACTGTAAAAGGAAGGTAAATTGCATAAAAACCTATTTGGAATTTGCTAGTGCACTGGTATGGAACCTCAAGGTCTGAAGTCAAAGCTAGCCTTCCCACCCTCTATTTCTGCACTACCTTTAATCCAATCCCTGATCACTGGGTGATTCCCTGCCTTTGTGCATCCTCTCCCCGCATTCCATAAGGTTGCAAACTGCTTCATAAGTAAGAGCTTTAAGCTATACAGCAGTGGCACCTGCTACATTTAGACCCTTGGGACTCCAGCCCTTCTTGGTGCTGGAATGTAGCCCCCTGCTCCCCATGAGAGCTTCCCTGAAATTGAATTTGGTCGTCAGGATGAAAGAAGTTTCCCCACCTCTTCATACTGGGAGAATTATTTCAATGGGCATTTCCCCTCCTTGGTGGTCTTATGCTTTAAATTGTTTTGATGCTTCTGGTTATCCTTTGGCCTTGAATGGCCCTGGAAACTGACCTCACTTTGCCTACATACATCGAAACAAAGGTCAGTCATAAGAACATAAGAAAAACCAGGCTGGATCAGACCAAATGTCTATCTAGTGCAGCGCTCCGTACACACAGGGTGGCAAACCAGCTGCCCACAGGATCCCTCCGGCGGGATGGGTGCAGGACCTCCACCTGCCCAAGCTCCTCAGCAGCCCCCTCTGGTCAAGGAGGTAGCACACAGCCAGCAAGGCCAGCAGCCACTGGTAGCCTCTTCCCTCAAGAATCTGCCCAATTCTCCTTTGCAGCCAACCAGATTGGTGGCCATCACCACTTCTCATAACAACCGTGTGTGCGGAAGTCCTTCCTTTTACCTCTCCTAACCCTCCTCCCCATCAGCTTCATGGGATGACCCTGGGTTTGGATGTCATGGGAGAGGGAGAAAAGTCTTTTTCCCACCATGCATTCATGAAGTCAATCAATTATTTAAATTACCCTGGTTTAAATCCAGGTCTGAGCAGACCATCTCATTTAAACTCCTGTATTCCTTGGAAGAAAACCGGCATATTCTATCTGTAATATGGTGACGATGCTATTTTTGCCTATCTCTTTGGCAGCCTGCATCAGAATCTGTTTCAAATCACTAGTGGGGCATTAGACTTAAAAGCTCACAAAGAAATGATTAAACACATTAGGATGAATGAAACAAGGACATAGTGCTTCTTTTAATCTGCTTTCCCCCAAATTTCAATTGATGCTTTGAGAAACAGGATGAGAAGAGCCCAGCAAATGCTTTATGTTAGCCATAATCAGACAGTCCTTAGTGACAATAGCAGAGAATGTGAAGGGCAGAAAGCTACTTGTCCCATGAAGCAGAATGTATTTTTAATGTGAAAGTGTTTAATTGGTTGCAATTAGAGGGCTAAAGCTTTTCTTAGGGTCTTTATGCTAGTCAGTTGCAATCAAAAGGTTAACAGTTTAGAAGTCCAAACATGGCTAGAATATTCAGTTGTGTAAACTTTGCTCAGGAAGCAGGAGCTTATAAAGTTCAACAGAAGGCTAGGGGAAGAGAGAGGAAGTTTTGAGTCAGGAAGCAGAAACTGAATGAGAAATGAAACTGAAATTAATAAGACACAATTCTTCGTACTGGTTAGAGTTGGGGAGAGAAAACCCTAAGTTTAGAAGATAACAGTGAACAGGCAGAGTGAGAAAGACAGAAAGGAAGACAGAAGACCAAAGTCCTTGAGGAAAGGGAGAGCTGGAACCAGTGAAACTGGAAAACTGAACTGCTGACAGTGAAATATTGCACGGATAAGGGAGGTGAATAAAACTGGCACACAGACTGCAGTAGAAAGGTGACTTGGATTAGCCAAACATGAATGCCTAATTCTGAACATTCCCAATATGTATGTTCAAAAGAAGAATTTACTGTATCAAGACTTCTGAGCTGTAGGAAGCTCAGAAGAAGCCAGTCTTGGCCTTTTTGGTCTTCTCCCTCCCTCCCTACCAGCAGACCCCTGTTTGCCCACTCTCCAGGAATGATCTTCTGGCATTGGAGAGGCGGCCGGAATGGTTCTTCCCATGCCAGTTGCAAGGGGACAGGGATCGGTCTTTGGGATTCCCTTCCAAGGCTGGATCACTGATTCTGGCTTCAGAAATTATTTTAAGCCATCCTATAGCCCCTGGGATGCTCACTCACGATTGCCCTCTTACTATACTGGTCAAGGGTCAAGCCAAGTAGCTGGAGACGTTTCCCAGATCTGGAGAATTTTAGCTGAGGAAAAAGGGAAGAAGGGAGAGTTGTATAAACAGTGCCTGGCGCATTGGAACCAGATCTAAAGATGTTCACAGTAGGACTGAGAGTCCAATCCTTTATTCCATTTGTAAGCTAGGGCTGGACCTTGGAGGTAAAGTCCAGACCTCACATCCCACTCACAGAGCAACCAGGAACAAAGAAACCAGGACAGCCAAAGCAAATTCCCATTTCATTCCTGTAAGCATGACTGCCCTATGTACACGCTCAGCATGTTTTCTTTTGTTTTGTATCAGTGCTGGCAAACAGTGTAGAAGCTATTGTAATGCATGGGATGGAGTTAGCCAGGGGAAAGAAAATGGTTAATCACATGTTCCACAACTGAAGAAATCACACTTGGCTACCTAAAGCTAACCTGCTACACAATCAGGTCAACAATCTAAAACTGGACTGGGCAACACAACCTGCAGCCTCAGTAGCCCCCCTTCCCCATCAGTCCCATCCCCCCACCACACTTTTTAAAGGAGAAGAGAAGACTGTCCCTAGTCCTGCACCAAAACTAGGTAATGAACAGACATGGAGAGTTGGAAAAAACAAAGCTAAATGGCCATAGAAGCAGAGAACAGCAATATCCAGCTTGTTTTCCCTTCTCCTCTTTTTTGCTGCTCAGGTGGCATTGGGAAGTGCAGCCAACAACAGGTCCAGGGGTGAGAATTTCCTCCTAGATGGCCAGTAACTGACCATACCTGGCCTAAAATTACCAAGCTGCACCTTTGTCCATCACCTAGGAGGCTAGGGGAAGTGGTTGAACATGACGATGGCAACAAAAGACCAAATAAGGTACCACCACGACAGATATTGCTGGTGAAGCCTCCCTGGAATAGATTTCCCATTCTTAGACCTTCCAGGAGTCCTTCAGCAGAATGGTTAAAAGGATGGGAGTGGCTCAAGGGCGAATCCATGTTTATTTCTGGCCAACTTACCTGCCTCTGGTTTTCCGTTTCCAGTCTCAGTCTAGCTTCTACGCATCTTCGGGTCTCCAGGAAGGCTTGGCGTTGGGCTCGGTCTGATAGGTAGCTAATGAAGATCCCAGCAGTATTCGTGCACAGAAATAAACCTGCTTGAGCTGCTGTCTGGAAGAAACAAGGAGACAAATAAATGGAATGGATACGACACCGAGAGACACACTTAGAAATGACGTCTAGGAGCTGATAGAATCACTTCTATCCTGTCATCTCTCCTTTCCTCAGCCGATTCAGCTCTTAAGTGATGCCGTAACATACTCCTCTAACTGCAGCCTACTTTTTTATATCAACATGGTTCACATTAAAATCTCTGTAAAAGATTTCTGTAAAAGAAAATTAATTTTGTGAAAGTCTACAATTTATAACTTGGATATGCTACTGGTGGTCATGGATGGACCAATGGTCATATTAGCAAAACCTTACTGTAGAAAACTTTTTGAAGAAAATGTATAAGAAGACTTAACAGTTTAATAGACACAAGTGACTACTCCTTCAGTTACTTCTTGTTTTATTCTCTCATGTAGTAATGTATTAGAATCAGAATTACTGAAAGCACAACCCTAAGCGAATTTAGGCAGAAAAATGGCCTTGTTGGCTGTCTAAACTTGCACAGGATTGAGTCCCAGATGACTCTGGCGTGTTCTAGCCTGAGAGTCCCACAAAACAAAACTGAAGTCCCAGTGGTGAATGAGGTGGTTCGTGGTCAACTAAAACGCCAAATAAATCGCCCTGTGGCATTATCAGGGCTGGCACCAAAACTTGTTTTAGCACCTGTCAAGCAGGGCTAAGCCGTAGCCCTGCAGAGGCCCGTTGACAAGACCCCCCTGCAGATATCGCTCCTCTTCAGCATTGTGGCCCAGGTCACCACGGTGGCAAGGAGCGGGGTCAGGAGATGGTGGTCTACACGTGCTCCCTGATGCTCCATGTCAGAGACGTGGGAGTAAGCATGTGAAAGAGAAGGATCAGCGAGAGCAGTTCATGGTAAAGGTTGTACGAAGGTGGCTCACTCAAGGAAAAGGTGCCTTGACCATTGACCCTAAAAAGCTAGCCACTGAGCTCCACTGCACTCATTCCCTCCTTGGAGATGCAGGGCTGTTGGCTTGTCTCCAGCAGGTATGAATACTGGACTCGCACCGGCTTATCATCTTCTTATCTAGCCAGCTTTCTGAATGCATGTCTGGACTGCCAAGAGTTAGAACTGACTGCAAGGGCAGCAACTTGAAGAAATGAAATAATCTGCACGATCTCCATTAAAGGCAACGAAACATGTGATGCTCTCGGTGCCTTGAGGAAGAAGCAGGCAGCAATCAGGGGCATTAAACTCTCACTGAACCATAGATGATATTTGCAAGAGATGAGTCACAGCACTGGAGTCAGGACTGATCACAAACATAATTAACCATATTTTATTTTTTATTGCACAGCATCTTCTTCTGAAACGCAGGATGTTACGGTGGTGACTCGTTTCACGATTTAGTGTAATGGTGGAGAAGATCACGGGAGACTACACATTGCTATAGGCATTTGCCATGGCTATTATTCTTGTCACTGGATTATTTGGAGCATAATGAACACCAGGAAAGCCCATACTTTCATTTTCCATTCCAGAGTTCCCACGTCCCTGCTTATTCCTTTAAGTAGGTACTTTCTTTCTGCCTAATACTTAAGCTATAATCAGAGGTGTGGTTTTTCAGTTATACACCGATACAGAGGAGTCACAGGAGCTCACATCAGCTGCATCCTTTAGCATCATGAGGTTTCTTGGCTTTCATCCTCAAAAATGCCAGCAATGTCACAAGTTTTTGGGCTTCACTGTTGCAAAGATAAGCTTTAAACCATGTGGACTAATGCCTGGTGCAAACTTTTAAACTGGAATGGGCTTTCCAGAACTTATGGATTTCAGACACTTCAGCTGTCACTCTTTACCTTTTTAAAAAATTACTTATCCCTAGTATATCAGTATCATGATGCTATCTCTATAGCTAACAGTTAGCTGTTAATGTGAATGCCCAGAGTTCAGTGTTTTATATGGTGATCTGGTTTCTAGAATGGATTGAGTGGGTAGATGCAACCTTCCCCTGGTGTATGTATATGTCTGTGCACTCTAATTAAACCTGGTATGTCCCCTGCCCCCCTCGCCCCCCAAAAAATCAGGGATAAATAGAAGCATCCAAACAGCACAAAGGTCTGTGCAAGAAAATGCAAGATGTTTCTAGACATGAATGTGAATGTCTCCAACATACTCTCTTCCCCCAATTTACTGTCAGGGTCTAACAGAATCAGCCCTTCACCTGTTCAGGTTAGAAACATAGAAACAGAGTGAGTCAGAAGGGGTCTCCCAGGCCATCTAGTCTGACCCCTGGCTCAGGTTGCAAGGTTTGCCTTTGTTTCAAAGGGTTTGTTTTAGAGATAACTATCAAAGGGACCAGAGACAAATAACATACCTCAAGACAGGCAAGAACAGATGTGTGAAGGGCTGGAGGCAAGAGGTTCAGTCCACTCCTGGCAGGCCTTTGATTCCCCAAATGGGAGTCAGCAGGAACACATAGCGCAACTAATTCTGGGAGCAAACTTGGCCTAAGGCAGCCAATCACCTCACCTGCTTGGACTAACAAGCCAGCCAGGATAATCCTAGGTACATAGGAAGCTGCTGCCTATGGATCAGTCCATGGGTCCATCAAACCCAGTACTGTGGACACTGACAGGCAGTGTCTCTCCAGGGCTGAGGCAAGAGTTTTTCCAGTCCTACCTGGAGATGTCTGGGATTGAACTGGGAACTTTCTGCAAGCCACGGATGTGCTCCACCCACTGAACTACAGTCCGAGCCATGATGTAGCGGGTAGTGCAGGTAGTGAGTGTCTGGGCCCTACTGCTAGATTCCCCATTCCAAATCCCTGAAGCCATTTAGTCACAGATCAAATAAAGAATGCTGGTGGATGCAGCCCACCCAAGAAAGGGGGCAAAGGGTTGCCACTTCATACTTTCAAGAGCCACTGTGGTGTAGTGGTTGCAGTGTCGGACTGGGACTGGGGAGAGCCAGGTTCTTGTCCCCGCTTGGTCACGAAGCTCACTGCTGGCTTTGGGCCAGTCCCTGACTCTCAGCCTACCTACTTCACAGAGTTGTTTGAGGATAAAAGACAGAAGCCTAACCCACCTTGGCTTCTTGATGGAGAAAAAAGAGGGATATGGATATTGACAGCCAGTGTGGTGTAGTGGTTAAGAGCGTGGGACTGGGACTCAGGCGATCTGGGTTCTAGTCCCCGCTCAGCCATGGAGCCAACTGGGTGACTTTGGGCCAATCGCTGGCTCTCAGCCCAACCTACCTCACAGGGTTGTTGTTGTGGGGATAAGATGGAGGAGGAGATGTAAGCTGCCTTGAGCCCTTTGTAAGAAAAAGGCAGGATATAAATCCAAAAATATAAATAAATAAATAAATAAATAAATAAATAAATATGAATATGATAATATTTTCCACTCCAATGCGACCCTTCCAACTCCCCATTATTACAAGTTTCATAAGCCCATGTGGCTTCCTTGGGGTTTACTGCCAGGAATGCAAGTCGGGTCCCCCAAGCTGGTGACCCCCTGAGGTGCTTGACTCCAAGTCCAACCATCCCCTGCCAGCATGCCCATTGGCCACAGAGGTTGGGGATGATGAGAGTACCAGTCCAACACATCTGAATACACCAAATTAGAGAAGACTAGTATGTGACATTATAAAATAAACAATAAAAAGGATGAGGTATTAAATAATTTGACCAAGCACTCTAGGGACCGTTGAGAGATTAAAATAAAATAAAAGAGTATGAAATGTTAAAAATAAACGGAATAGGCCAGAGAGGAACTGCAGTCAGCTCGCTGAGCTTATTCTGTTTTATCATGTTCCAGGTTTATACACTCTTCATTAAATCTAAAATCAGTTCATCAACTTTGTCTCTCAGGCGTCTTTGCTATATGCCTCTCCCGCCTCCCCTACCTCTAGACTGGTAAAATAAATATTAACTTGTTCCTTTTCCACTAATTTAGTGCTCTGACACATGCACAGAGATACATAAGATATAAATAGCTCTTTATTACAGCATGTCTGAAAATTCACTCTGTGCTTGCAACTGGAACATTTACCATGCATTCATCAAGGGAGAGAAAGGCAAAGCAGCTTTAAAAGTAGAGAACACTGGATCTTAGGGCCAAAACAGACATTAATTCCAAGATGTAGCTAGCGACAACACATTTTTATCATCTGGAATCGGTGCAGGGCCCCTGATCTTGCTCTAGCCAAGGACACTGGGGAGCTTTAACTTCTTCCCCTTGTGATGGGCCTAATCCAGATCCGGGAGACATTGCTATTGCATAATAGTTATTGATGAAGTAGTGATACAAAGCAAATCCATCAAGGACATCCATCAGTGCCCCTGGCAACCCAGAGATTTATTTCAGTGCCATGGAAAGAAATTACAGGGCCATCGAGAAATATTTTCCTGGTTGCCCTCCCCTTCAGCCAGCACCCATGCTCTCCCATTTTGGCAGTCTTGTTTAAAGGGCAATGGGAGGGCCTTCTTATTTTGCTCTTTTTCTCAACTGGGAGTCAGATGCCCCTGGTAATCTACTGCAAACCAGTCAGAGATATTCCAGTAGATCCTGATATGCCCATTATCCACCCCTCGTCTTTCCAATTTGAGAGCACTTGCCCTCTCTAGAGAATCGATGGAAACTAACCAGATCAATCATATTAAGTCACACTAACAATTTTCTGGAAGCTAAGAGCTCTTATCTCCTTTGAATCCACAAGGAAACCAAATGTCAGATCAAATCAAATTTACATTTGCAAGATACCCTTCATGCTGGGCTGTGAAGCACTTAGCAAAGTCAATATTAAAAACAAAACAAAAGCCCTGAACCAAAGTCGGGCAGGTAAGGCAGTTCCATATTTGAAAATAGACCTTCATGTGATGCAATTCATTTTTCCCTCTACAGCTCATCAGGCAAGGGGTAGCAAGAATGTTTAAGAGGAGATTATTAAAAAAAAAAAAGGTGTTGGAGGAAGAAGGAGTGTTTTGGACAGGACAAAAAACAGCAAAGCTCTCATCAAGAAGAATTCACATGCATAA